ATTTCATGTATGCCTTAATTGTGGGCAAACACTCAAGCCGGATCATAAATTCAACCAAATTATCGTACTTAATAAATGTCTTGGGGCTGAACTGCCGGAGCCAGTCCATTTTCTCATACGCCCAGAAGTCTACATAATTAATGTGATTACCGGTAAACCACTGACGGGTACCCAAAAACCGGGACAAAGCGTCCAACTGTTGGGGCAGAGTATCGGCCAAATACTTGTCTTTGAGTGTTTCAAAGTCTGGACTAAAACACAAGTGGACGACAAACGCGAACCTAATGTCCACCAACTGTTGCTCCAGCATATCCTGGCGTACGAGTCCGGTCTCGTCGGTGGCCACCAGTCCGTGCTTACGGCCCAAGTGTCGCATAATGGCAACGCTCTGGCTCAGTTTGACATCACCATCAATGTAATATGGTAAATTGGGAAAGTCCATGCCCAGGCTGTCTCTCTCGGCCCACCAATCGCCCTTATACTCTTCAACAGTGGTCGCCCCGGGCCGGTCGTAGTGCCTGTCCGTGAACTTCACGCCCTTATACGCCAACAACAGCCGTATGGGCTGAGCCAACGCACGGACGCTATAGTAGCCAACGGTGGGTACAGTTGTGTCGGGCATATTGTATGTTTAATAATGTTGTGTTTAATAAATTTGCCAAAAATAAAGTTTTTAAACTTATGTTGTTTTCAAACAATAATACTTTTTTTCGCTGTTAAATGCCTGCTATTTATACCGATATGGTTGACAAACTAAACAACGCGCGCAACCTTGATTAAAATATCGTAGAGGTAAGTGATATATATTTTTACCTTATTTGGGCACAGATTACGCTCTATGCACACGTACTGTCTCATTCATATAACAGAATAATTGCATATTATGTACATAAAAGGTAATGTTTTGTAAATATAAATTATATAAGCTTAATCTTTCATGTTAAGTCGTTTCATTGAACACATACCTAACAATTACATTAAATCTGTATGATTTAGATCAGTAGAATAACTCTGCATTAATTAGTACTGTGTAGTCTATATGACCGAAAAATGAACTATCTACTTTTCTTATTAACTTGGTTAGACTCAACACTACTAGTGGAATGCAACTAATCCACAACACCGACACTTGTGAACAACGTGGTCGGACCGTTTTTGAGCAGTACAAATAGTATAATGCATATTTATTGTACGTGCATACTATGAATATTATTTATGCTTAATAGATTATAAAGTTATTACCTAAATTATACAACAAAATTATATAATTGATGCTATAAACCTTTATTTTCATACTGAATTGTAGTTAAAATTAATTAAACAGAAATAAAATTATTTTTTGATGATTTTGAAATAAATAGTAATTTTTATTTTTATTAAATAATGTTGATTCCATAATTAAAACAAATAAACTACAGAGATCATTTACTTTTTGAACCCCCACTTAGCGTGCGGTCCAAATAGAGGCCAACTTATAAACTCCGGTGATTTCATGTATGCTTTAATCGCCGGTAAATTTTCAAAACGGTCTAAGAATTGAACCAAATTCTGGTACTTATTGACAGTATCGGCGTTCAACAGTCGGAGCCAATCGAGTATCTCATACGCCAAGAAGTCTACATAATTAATGTGATTACCGGTAAACCACTGACGGGTACCCAAAAACCGGGACAACGCGTCCAACTGTTGGGTCAGAGTTTCGGCAATATATTTGTCTTTAAGGTCCACAAAGTTTGGTTTAAACAATAGGCCAATCATGAGTCCCATCCGGATGTCCACCAACTGTTGCTCCAACACATCCTGGCGTACGAGTCCGGTCTCGTCGGTGGTCACCAGTCCGTGCTTACGGCCCAAATGTCGCAAAATAGCATTACTCTGGGTCAGTTTGACAGAGCCATCAATGTAATATGGTACGTAGGGGAAATCAAAGCCCAGGGTGAATTTCTCCTTAAACCAG